TACTACTACTACTACTACTACTACTACTACTACTACTACTACTACTAGTACTACTACTACTACTACTACTATAATATAATGGCTTTTGTGGCGGTGATACTCTTCAGACCGCCTGGATTGTTTGCTAGGGGGAGGGGGTGTTTGTGCTAATTCAGATCCAACATTACCCGAACAAAGAGCAGGCACAACTGTACCGACTTTCCGAGGTCACGAACGGGTCGGCTCCACATCTCTGTCCGCCCTTTCCGGCAAGGCTCAATCTCGGCCACGCGCTGTTCCTGACCGGCGTGCTGCTCTCGATGGCGCGAATCACTCGACGCGTCTCCGCCCTGGCGATTCCGAAAGGCACGGGTGCAGAACCGCAGGTCCTGAGTTGACAGCTGTGCTGAGACCTGCTGAAGGTCCTGGTGCACGGCGGGATCAGGGATCAGGGGCGGTTGGGCAGGAGAAGAGAAGGAACTTGTGTAGGAATTTTCTCTGACGGAACTGAAAACTTCCATAGGGAGCATTGGAGGAGGAATAGCCAATGGCAACCGGAGGAAGAGGAATTAGCTAAATTTAATCAACAAAAGACTTGGAATGAACCTATAAGCAGGCACAAGAGAAGCGTTTTGATGCGGAACTGAAAACCCAAAAGTATTCCAATTTCTCACATCAGCTTTCAGTATGAGTTGGCAGTCCATTCGCTTGCAGTTGCTCGAGTGGTACAGGACGCAGTTGGCTTTCAAACCCACCTGCCAGCCGACTTCAACTACAACCATTTGTTGGCAATCGCGCCACATTCCGCACCAAACAAGTCTCCCCCAAAAGGAACCAAGCAATAAATTGTGCAATTTCTTCACCCACCATCATTGTCTTTTTGACACACCCCATCTCCAACCGCCTTCCTCTGCCTTTCATGGCGTCAAGGCCACCTCTCCCTTCCGCCCCAAAACCACTCCTCGGAGAACTGTCCCAGGGAGCGCTCCTGGGCTTTCGAATCGCCGCGTATCAACCTATCCTCGTCCTTGTTCCTAGTAGCAAGAATGATCCTAGTAGCGATACCAGGAGCCCCTAGTAGCGTCCTTGCTCCTAGTGGTAAGGCCAGGAGCCCCTAGTAGCTTCTTGTTACAGTAATCGATTCTTCCATCCATCAACCCTGCCAGCCCAGTCATCCAACCCACCAGCCCAGTTCTTCCAGCCGCCTGGCCCCCATCTGTCGGGCCATCTTTTCCCATCCGTCTCCCTCTTGCAAAGCCGGCTCCTGCAGCGCTTGCATGTCACTGAGTTCTTTGCAAAAGCCCTTCATCCTGCGCGGCGCGTTTTTCGGTCGCAAAGACCAGATGGGGCAGCGACGTATCGTTGAATCATGCCGAAAATCATGGGACATACTATATCCAGTGCTGGCAACAGAATTGTACCCTACTTTAAGGCCTTGAAAACTATCGTGGATCCTCAAATCGGACCCTGGTCACCTCGCAGACTTCACCTAGACTGGTGCATTTCACTGTCCCTGGCGCCCGATCTCGTGCACACCCAAACCGCACTAAAAAGAACCCAGCAGCTCCAGCGATGGCACGTCGAGGCTGGCCTCTCATCTTGCGCATTGAGCTGCTGAACGATGACGCTGAGGACTTCCTGCGCTCCAAGCTTCGTAGTCGGCCCAGGCGGATTTGGACCGACTCAGGTTCCTATTTGAAGAAGAGCTCGCTCAAACAGGTTGTATGTTAAATGTATGGGTATGAATAGTTTGGAGTATCCCGCAGAAATGATGGGGAAGAGAAAGTCAAGAAACCCGATAAAATCCATGCTAATGACGTCGGGAATGCATGGCACAATAATCCAAAATAATCAATAATGTGCAAGATCCAAACGCTGGTCCCCCCAAAATGGCTAGCGGCAGAATGGGATCATCCGCAATCAATCCGAAATGAATGACTCACAAGCGCAACTAACTAAACCTCCATCTCAAGCTCCAATGAATTCCCAATGAAGGAGCCAATCTTCTACAATACAAGTCAAGTGACCAGTGTCTAGTGAGATAGTCCATTGCCAGGCCAGGTTAGTATGTTAGTGAGCAAGAGTGTGCTGTAATCCTGAAGTAGATCAAGTCTGAAGCATTCCTAAAACTAACAGGAAGATGAAGGCCATGGCCTGGTCCCATCTTCTATCTACTCTCAGGATGACGACCCCGGTGGGAGTCCCACTGGGTCAGGCCAGTGCCGGTCACTCCTGCAATCGACTCACTCCCAAGAGGTGATCTAAAGCCAAGGGCTTGCCATTCAGCCTGAGGCGACTCGGTGCCCGGTCTGAAGCGATGCCCGAAATGCTCCTAGTAGCCTAGTAGTATGGCCAGGAGCCCCGTTCGTAGCGTCCGATCGCTCCTAGTAGCGATGCCCGGAGCTCCGTTTGTAGCGTCCGATCTGCTCCGTTCATAGTAAGGCCAGGGTCGCCCCGTTCGTAGCGATGCCCAAAATGCTCGGTTCGTAGCGTCCTCCGCTACTCTTCTTTCTTTTGCCGGTTGGTAGAGGGATCGCATTGCCTAGCTCATTGGATCCCAAACAGCCACCAAATCCTGATTATGTTGAGCATTGCAAAATGGATGGAAAACAAACCTGGCCTGTTCATTTCCCCAGGCCCTGTCTGTGTGTCTTGGGGTGTCTCGCGGTCGCTTTCTGCACTGCTGCAGCTTTTCAAGAACATTCACTCCTCCACGTTAAGAACTCCCTTCACGTCAAACACCTAAAAAACTCAAGGCAACTCTGGGCGATGGCCTCCAACCTAATAGCGATGGCCTCCACCTAGTAACGATTCTAGATGCAACCCCCAAAATTCCTCGAAAACTGCCCGGAGAGTTTGCTCCTGCACCTCCTCATCCCCCACTCTTTGCCCAGTGGCGTGACCGCGCCCGGCATCTCGCCCGACGGGCGCGCCCGGGGGGTCGCCATGGGGGCGATTTGAAGACTTCGAAGGATTCTGAATAGGCTTGGGTGGCTTTGAGAAGCATTGAGGATAGACCGGATAGATTAATCTTCGTGTTCTTTCTTCAGTTTCTTCCGTTTCTGACCCCTTGCGTAGGTGGGCTGACGTTTGATGTTTTAAGGCAACGGCTGAGTTTCAAGCCAGCTTCTTGTAGCATGGGTGGTCCATAAAGCTGAAGGTTCCCGAACTTGTGACTCAGCCCAGCAGAGGTTCCTCATCCAGTTGAGACATGTGACATGTGATTGAAAATCTTTGAGGCCCCCAGGTTCATCCTGTTCTGCATCTTCTTGTTTTGTGCCCTTTTCACGGGTCAAGCGCTCAGCCAGCGGTTTTTCGACGCCATGAAACCTCCAACTGGATCAGTGTGCCCACACGCATCGACCGGTCGACCCTTGGGATCCCTGTGACTTTCTATGTCAGTAGCAGTAGTAAGCATCTATAGATTATGGTGCAAGAGGGCAATTTATGAGGTCTGTCTCGCAATAGACCCTTCTTTGCCCCAAACAGTTCAATATTCCGCAAGTGCTGAGGTTTGGGATTCTCGTCCATTGTGCACGCAAGTGTAGATGATCCCTGGTCCCACCGTCCTGTAAGAACCCGAGTTGGACCAAGAGATCTGAAGCCTTTGGAGCTCAAACTCCACTTCCTCCAGTGGTTGTCGGCTTCCAAACATCTGGGTGTATTCAGTTCCCATAGGGAGACCCCCCCAAAGAACCCCTGGACAAAGGAAAATAGACCAAAAGCATCCAACACTCCCATTAGTTGGTCACACCTGACATTGCTTGGCTCCAAACGACTCTTCCAGGCTGTCGAACCTCGCTCGCTGCTCGGCCCCTTTTGCTTCTCGCAGGAGGAGGGGCGGGTCCACCTCACGGAGGTAGTCGCTGTTCCGCCGCAGCAGCGAGGCCACCGTGCCATAGGAGCCCTCCTTCACGGAGTCCAGGTCTTCCTGAGAAAAAAAGGGCTGCCCTGTGGCAGCGTGAAATGGTATGTGAGGAGGTCATGTCATGTGCTTGATGGATCTCTTCAGATAGAGATAGGAATGAACAACACGCGCTTTCAGAGTCTAAAGTTTAAAGTGGATCCGACTGTTGTTTCGTGGAGATGTGTCTCTTAGGAGCCTCATTAGTGGTCAACCCAAAACCTGTTCTAAGTCAAATTTCACCAAATTTGCATTGTCATTATGGCCAGGCTTCACGTCGGATCAAATGGATCGTCGGATGCGGCGCTTGGTGCAGCACATTGTCCAACAAAGGGACACCGCCACAGCCTTGAAGCCATTCGATGGGCACCCACTGGACCACTCCATCATCCTGCCGGATCGGTTCTTTCAAATTCTTTCACTCGAAGGAAAAGTTTGCAGGAAATTCATGGAAACCCATTAAAAAACCCATGGTTTTTCTGTATAGATGTTACAGTACTTCCCTTGAACAAGCCGTTGATTCACCACCTTCAAAAGTGCATGGCGTGGGTTTCAGCCGCAACGATTGCCATCGGCTCATCAGCCGATCATACTACCGCTGTGTGAAGCTGGTTGTGAAGCTGGCCAACTGCTACCATGAGATATGGTTAAAGAGTGCCCAAGCACCAAGAATGTCATAAAAATCATCCCACCATTGGTGTTCCGCTCATTCCCCTATTCTTCAACCTCTTCCGCTTTCCCCGGTCCAGGAAGCGAAGGCCGATCCGCCGCACACCCACACGCTTGGGATCCAGGCACTGCACCGTGGCGGGCAACGCTTTGCTGCTCTTGCGGCCGTCAGACTCCTCATAGTAGGAGGTCACCTTGGATCTGAGATCTCACCAAGATGTCTGGGTCCGGGTTCCGAGTTTTTGAACTTCGATGAACAGTGGTCTTTGTTTCACTTCTGCGACCTGAGTCATTGGTCTATGAAACCTTCGACGACTGATCAGTGGAACCGCGCCCAGAGGTTTTGACCGTTTTGACCTTCCACTTCGTCTCACAGCGGACATTCCCCAGAGCCACGAGTTCGCCACGCACCGTTCGCAGTTTGTGTTCGCCCAGCAGCTTGACGACCTTCCACCACGTCAGCTGCGAGCGAGGGCCAGCGAGCAAAATCTGGGATGCGGACCACTGCATCAATGAGCATCAATTCACAGAAGTGGAAAACAGAAGAAGAACAAAAACAAAAGATTGATCTGTTCAGAAAATACTGTCCCAGAATGTTCTCTGGAATGAGAGGCCATGACCGAATCTTTCACTGCAACTCGTCTTTATGGGCCGCCTGCACATACTTTGTAGCTGGAACATAATTTGACAATCTGCACTCTATCCTTTACAACCTCCACTTAAAATCCCATTGTGTTATCAGAAGGCCGTGGTGTCCTTGGTGATTGATGCGTGTGCCGTCTGCCGTTTTCAGTTCTTCATGTCATCCGTCATCCGCATGACTCACCGTTCCAGACCCAGTCTAAGCCTCCGTACAAAGATGAAAGACCACCAGACCAACCAGTTCATCCAGGTCATGCATGCTGTTCAACACCCATGCATCAAAGGCATCGAAGTCCTCCCATTCCTGGCGAAAGGTGTGTCTCATTCCCAGATACTTCCGCTCTCTCTCTCTCTCTCTCTTCCCTCACCGAGGCTCCTTCACTTCCCTGCAAACCACCAAAGAGGTGGTCCAGGGTCGAGCGGACGCCAAGCGCCGCGCTTCGCTGCGGAGGAAGGTGGCCACTTGCTGCTGGCTGGTGGCCGAGCATTCCAAGTAGTGGATCCTGATCCAAGTGACCCAGGTCATAACAGGTCTCAGCAGGTCTTATCTTAGAACATCCCAGGCAAAAAGGTATACCACGGTATTGACAAACGTGGTATGGCACGAGAAGCCCTCTCTTTGTCAGTTCGATTGTCAGCGGTTGATATCAGCTTATCCCGTTTTCATCCAAAAAATATCAAAAATCAAGGGCCTTGTCTAATGTTTTAGAAAAATTGAAAAAGTTCTGGGGCACCCCCCCTTAAGGGGGAGGTGATATAAAAACACAACCCTCAAGTTGTTGCGCTCACCCCTTGCTTCAAAGTATGATAAAGGCATTGCGCGTGCCATCCTTGCTGATGCCAGCCAACCATATTGTATATGGAGGCCACCAACCGCATATGTATGCATGTGCCTTTAAGATTGGGCCGACTGCTTATTTCACATCTCAAAAGAACCGCAAAAACAACGTATTTACACTTTGTTCGACATTTAAGAAAACTTGGACAATTTAAATTTCTAAAAAGTTAAGTGCCCTAAGTTCGCTATGACTTATTTTGACCTTTTTACTTGCTAACTTTTGACAACTAACTTGCAAGTGCCACATCTTAACATAAAAGTTTTACATATTTACAGAACTTCCTAACCCCTTCAGAACTAAGTCACCAGACACTGACAAGATACTTACAAGTTCCCTAGCCAAAATCCAAGGAAGACGTACGTCCGCCACTAGGCTTCCAACAGCTCTCACAGCAACCACGCTCACGACCGCACCGACAGGAGTGGGATCGTTCCGGCGCTTAGCCCGCGTTCCATTTCTTTTTGGGTAATGCTTCGCAGTGCAGGGCAAAGGTCGTTCTTGACCAAGTCGTGTAAACGTAGGGTTTTGAGGCCAAACCGCATCCACGAATCTGAATGAGCTTCGGGATCTTGGAAGTGCTGAGCAAGGAAGGGCTCAAGATCCAGCAACACTGTCTCTGCGAGCTTCTGTTTCAACATCCAAAATTGTCGACTCTCAGCAGCCTTGAGACATGGGGCGTGTAAAGGGCCATGATGGGTGGCAGAAAGACCTCACATGGTCGGACTATCGACGCCCTCTGGACCGAGAAGCTTGGGATTTTTTCCCGTGCTTCCTACGCATGTCTGCTGCAAAAACACGCTGGCCAACCAGCTAGGTCGCAGAGCAATGAAAACGCGACGAAAGCGGATCGCTTGGGGCACCGAAAATCACACAAAACTAGCTTAGAGCTCGTTGGCCTTCAGTGGGGCCGTCTTCAAACAATTCTGTGACCAAGGCTTCAAACTTAGGAAGCTACCGGTTCCAGTTTCATGCGCCAGTACCCCCCGAACTCAGCCGCGCAAAGAAGTCTCCACAGAACCCTCGAAGTCTTCCATTTTGTCAAGGCGCTCTTCCACATGAGGGCTCGGTCAACCTTTGGTCCCATTGTTGCAAGGTCGCGCGGCCCAAACTTGAACTGGTCAAAAACTTCTGCTCAGGTACTCCATGTATGTTAAAATGCCAGACAAGAAAAAAGAAATCAAAGAATGAAAACTATCCCGGGAGGAGACCCCAAACAATGTGTTTGAGGTCTAGAGAGGCGCAGCAGCAGAAAGCCTAGAGATCTCGACGCAGTGGGGTCCAGAAGCGATGGTGGTGATGAAGGTGGAGATCGTGGATGGGTTTGCAAGCTGGGAAAAGTCCACAATACTACGCCTGCCACGAAAGTTGCACTTCAAGGTCCACAAAGTACTGCGCCTGCCAGCGCCTGCCACGAAATCTGCACTTCAAGGTCCACAAAGTACTGCGCCTGCCACGAAATTTTCACTTCAAGGTCCACAAAGTACTGCGCCTGTCACGAAATCTGCACTTCAAGGTCTACAAAATACCGCGCCTGCCACAAGATGCGCACTTCAAGAAGTACTGCCTGCCACGATATCTGTAAACGAGCCACACGTCCAAATCAGAGCACGCCGAAGACCACCACCATGTCCAAAGTACTGCGCCCGCTACGAAATCTGCACTTCAAGGTCCAAGAAAGTGCACCTGCCACGTCAAGGTCTACGAAGTACCTGCCACGGAAGCACCCCAAGGCCCACAAGCTGGTGATCGGCTTCGGCCTCGGCCCTTGCACGCTGCCCACGGCATCGGCCTTACGCTTCCGTCTCCGTGACATTTCCCCAGCGCTCAAGGGGACCCAGACTTTGGGTTCTGAAGAGGCTTCGCAAAGCTTGGGTCCTCAGCGCTGAGACCGATCAAGCCGGGCTTCCACTTGATATCCACGCGCTCTCCCCATGTACCCCCTACTAAAAACTTGGAGCGCTGGTGGAGTTCCTAGGATCTCCTTATAAGCTCTCCCAGGACGCTCGCAAGCTTACTCGGCTCTGGAAAAACAACATGAGGGGACCTTCCAAATCTTTCACGACGAGCGTCAAAAGCTCGTCCTTGAGGGCCCAAAATTTACGGTCTCCGTTAAAAATGTCCAAGCACCGTCTCTCCAAGGTCGCGCATCCGGACAGGCGGATACGGTAGCAAGCTAGCATATCAGACTGGAACTCTTCAAGGCGGGCCACCCGGTTCTCGAGAGTCTGAGGCCCGGGGAAGGCCAATGATAACCACAGGCTTCAAAGCTTCGTGAATCTCAGCCTTGGTCCTCATGATCAACAGCGGGTCCGCTGTGCAGCGTTCGAAAGGGATGCAAGAAAAAGAAAAAACAACCATCGTAAACACA